GTGAGAGCGCAAGATTGAATTCGTTTGCGTGAGCCTCATGCTTAATGCGTGAGACTTGAGAGCACTGTGTCGGTTCTTTTTAATAAACAAAGGTATTACGATGTGTTATACGTGTAGCTTCGTTTTAATCGAACAAGGTCAAATTTCCCAACCCAACTCCTCTGAGACGAAATTCCTACAGGCGACATAGGAATCTTGCGAAATGCCAACATGGCTGGTGGCGAAATTCAGACAGGGGACATGGGTACCCCCCTAACAGGGCCTCATCAAGGGGGAAAAATTTGATCATAGTACTACTTTAGGCATAGACGTTTTGAAGAGGTGGACATAAACCGGAAGTCAAATTTTCTCTTCTTTGGGACATATAATTTAACAAATTTACCTTATAAAGGTTGAGCTGTGAATGCTACAATGTGAGCTTTCCAACTCATTAGTGGGAGGTGAAAAGGTACCAGAAGCAAGAACATGCTAGACTTTCAGTTGCCATGTGTGGTTCAGAATCGTCTGTGTTTGTCATGATGAGGACTTTCACAATGTGTAGTTCCAGAAATTATCCATAACTCCCCCATGAAAGGGATTTTTTCTAAGCTCCCACCCTCCCCCACCCCTCTGGAAATTCCAATTAAGCTTCAAACATATCTTTATTTTTCTGGTTTTACAGAAACCCTCTCCCCCCCCATTCCCTGGAAATTCCAGTCCCTTCTGTGGGGGAAGTGTGGATATTTTCTGGATCAGCATGATGCTTTAACGAAGGTATTAGGGGTATAGACACAGTCTGGCCAAGATGTACTACATGCAGGGCTCAACTTTCAGGGAAAAAACTTGGTGTTAGCTGGCCCCTAAGTTATCAGATTTAGTCACCAGCAAAAGTATTTCAGTGAAAAGCATGAAAAGTTAGTCGCCACTGAAAAAAATTGGTTGCATTGGCAACCCCAGCAGTCGCAATGTCGAGCTTTGAGATGTGCAATGTTATCACTAGTTAGAGTTGGTCATCCACCCACCAGTTGGGATTCTGAACACATTTGAAGCAACATAAAATGAAAATTAATTGAAGTGTACACTTAAGATTTCCCAAGTTATGAAGAATGCACCAATACTGTGACAAAAATTGTTGCAGGATAATACCACTGGCACACAGTCTTGAGACTAGAACAATCATTGCTCGGCTATTAGGTTTAGAAAACTTATATATTAGGCAAATATTTCTTCAGGATTGTAGATACCACACGAAGTTGAAAATAAAATTCACAAAAAAATAGATTACAGCAGTTATCAATCACACGTGACCTTCCGTGAATGGCCATTGAAAAACTCGACAAACATCCTCATTTAAAGATTTCAAGGACTATTTAATGCCAATGTATTTAGTGAGCTAGCCGTACATACTGAAAGTAAAATGATAATTTTTATGAGTGGACCACTGCAAGGTTTCACTTTTTCAGGTAAATATTGCATACAGTCGGCAAGGGGGCAGAGATGATTGACGTCTACCAAAACTTAGGTTTTGTCAAGGCGTTTTTGCACTGAAGGTCACTTGTGATTGATAACCGCTGTAATACAAAAATTATCTTGACTAAATAATAATATTATACTACATAGTTCAATACCTGTATGTCCTTTGTGAGTCTTTACAACATTTCCATCATAGTTCCATACATTGCACACCAAGTCCTCTCCTATGCTTACAAAACATGTCTCCAATAATTTTGCATCCCAAACTCGTGCTGCATGCCCATAAACAACAAGCAAAGGCTCCACAAAGCCATTTGATTCAAATGTTGATAAATTAGTAACTTTCCATAATCGTATGCTCCTGTCATCTGATACTGAACTTAAAAGTGTTCCTGACCCATTGAAGTTTAATGAAAAAATAACACCTTCATGGCCTGTAAGCCTCTGAAGAACAGGAGTTCTGTTATTTTCATCCTTTTTCCCTTGCACTTTCCAAAGGAGAACTTGATTAAACACAGTCCCAGAAGCAATGATTAAATGGTCTAAATGAGATCCAAAGAATCGAGCAGAATATCTTAAGAGTAACAACCGTGTGTTTAAGGAAAAAACATGTATCACATGAAGACATGGAATTTATGACGGGCTGAAGAATAAATCTACCCCCAAAAACAAGACTTGAAATTTGACCAAGGACTTCACTAGCATCTGGCATTGAATACCAATTCAGTCATGGAAATCCTCCAAAGACTTTGATTCAACTTGTTTTTAATTTCTGTTAATAGTAAAATGCCCTGTTCTATATTCTGTCATCCACCTCCTGTGCTCCATTAATCCCCTCCTCTCCATTAGGACCTTTTTCAAGAGATTTTGATAAAATAATACAATCATGTACACCTTTTATGGTCATGTGGTTAATTAGAAGGCTTGTAAAAAGATACAATATGCAGAGTTCTTCACATTGTGCAACTAACTGTTTCACATTACTCTCCCAGTCCCAGCACCAAATAGCATTGTGAGCTGTTGCTATAGCAATGCATCTTGGGACTTCATCATCATATAGCCAATGAGCATCCCAGATCAGATCAGCAAAAGTTTCAATGTCTGATGCTGCCTCGACACTGTGGAGAGAGGAGTAGCTTACTAGGCTACAAGGACTACAGATGGGTTAAGGTGGCTGATGCCTACATGTATATCAGTAACTGATATAGTGATTAAGTGTTGCTGCTAGAATATTGGAATCAAACAAATACCCCATTAATTATTGTTTGTAAACAAACACAGTATGCCATAATAGGCTACCATAGCAATAGTTTAAGGGCCCATTAACCGGTCTTTTCGAGCCATTGCTAAGGAAAATTTATTCTCCTGTAACCTCATCATTTTTAGTTAGTTCAGAGTTATTTCATGTGTTTTAACTTTTTCATGATCAGCAGCACTAGTGATGACGTCATCAGGCAATGCCCATGGTCATGCAACTAATACTGAAAAAACGCAAAGGCTCCCAGGCAAATTACGTTATCGGGATTTTTTTCATTGATTTGATATTTTAATTTAAATCTTCATTACGCTATGCATAGATTTTGTTTCATTTCTACAAGGTCAGATTTTGAGAGAATTTCAAAATATTAAAAGTTTCGTAATTTTCTGAAAAAAGCATGATTTCGAAAAAGGAATGCATAGCTATGTTTCCAACGTTGGCTTTAATCGAAATCCGTCCAAAAAGGCTGGATTTAATGAAAAACCGCGTTTCCTTTAGCATTTAAAGAAACCGGAAGTGCGCCCAATATATATGGGAAGCTACCCTATCAGCGTGTGCACAATTTACACTACCAGTGCTCTTCGGTAAGATCAAACACAGCTACACGGAGTTAGTTTTTCTCTTTCTATTGCTCTTGTTTTTCTGTCTTTCTCATATTTTGTCTTTGCTTGTACTTTTTTTACTTTGCATTTTGTGAAACACAAAGAAAAACATATAAAATGTGAGCGAATTTGGAAGTTGTTGAGTTGTTGTTTTTTTCCGCGCTCAGGCTGACGTAAGTAACCAGAAGTGAAATTTCACCTCCTTAGCAACGCGCGCGAGAGCGCACGCATAAATCGGTTAATGGGCCCTTAAACCAGTAAAACATGAGGTTATATTTTTGCTCTGTATTCACTTAAAATTCAGCAGTGAACTTGATGATTCCAATTTTCATCAACAAATAACGATCAACAGATAACCTGTTGCAAAGTTTCAAAACAATTTCCAAAGAAGGTGCAGCACAACATCACTTTTTTTTTGTAAACCAGAAGTTCATGCAACCAGAAGCTCATGAGCACCAGTAATTTCTGTAGTTCTATTTCATTTGATAGCTAAGCTTGCTTCTATTGTTACAACAGTCAAAAAAAGAAAGTATGACCGAATTAACTCTCTCCTACTTACCTGATCCTAGAGTTCAAAGAATCCTTTGGTAGCTTGATGACTCTTATGACCTTTTGCCCAAATATTATCACCAAGTTTTTGTGCTTGTGTTCAACTTTACAAAGATAAAGACAAATTATTTAGAGCAAGTAAAATATAATAACATCCATTTTCTTACTTTTTCCACTGAGTAGAAAGTCTATTTAAAGAGTAACCATTAAAATATCGCATCTGCATGTGTAGTCTGGACACATCCAAAGATTACAAAATCAATATAAATCAGGTATAAGTCAGTGCATAGTAATTATCCATTTCACATTTTGTAGATGGTAAATGTCACACTTAAAATATGCATAAATGTGAGGTCTGTGGGGAAGTGGCGCACCTATTGATCTACAGTGCTAGGATTGATGATCTGTGACTGTCCGACTGCACTTGCATTATTTCTTAATACGCTTGCCCTAGATTGGGTGTCAGCTACTCCCAGGGGTTTCACTGATGTTTTCACAGGTAGCAAAATGTTTTTAAATGAACTTCTTATTAAAGTGCTACTGAAAATTATGACATTTTCATACTCTCTTTTATTAGCCCAATCTATAGTTTCAAACATGCTTAAAATAATGGTGAACTTTATTTCTGTCAAATTCTAATGGAAAGTGCTTTTTTTAGCTGCTGAAATCTACTCTTTGGAGCAAAACTGTACCCAGGCTCTGGAACCGAGTTTAAGGACCTTGTGACGTCACTGGCTGTATTCACGCAAGAAGCACCACAGATTCTCTCTCGTTTTCACTTGATTTATTCAAGTTCATTCTTCATATTGTCGATACCTACCAGTTTTCTACCTTGTAATTTCTGTCCAGCCTTGACAGGAAATAGAGGGTGTCAAAGAGTGTAGATTCACCAAAATGAATGCTACAGATTAGAACAGCTCAGTATACTTTTCGAACATCTTGAGTACTCGATTGGAGATTTCAAAGATGAGTGTGGCAACTTTTATATCACGTCCTGAAGCCTAAACACCATATTTCGTCGTCTGTTTTCAGCCTGGTTCTGAAATTTGGATTCTCACGTTTATCTAAGGCCTATTAACAAGGTTTGAATATATCCTCAGCAAGTTTACTGCATTAAAAGCGGTAAGCACACCAGCCATCCACACAATCACAAAGTTATTAACGGTCCACAAGCTTTGAGTCGAATACTTCTTTGCACACAGAGGACATCTTTTTATGATACTAATAAATGAGAGTTGTTGTGGTAGACAAAATGTATCTTTGAAAATTGTGATCAACAGCAGGGTTTGCTTTATCGCCGCATACATATCAATGTAAACAAAGCAGGAATTTCACTTCTCCTTTACACGTATCTCCCAATTGCAATATTTCACAGCTAATAGAGTACTTTGAGTTCTTTAGCACATACTTATGTCTATGATCTTCATTTAATAGTATCCAAGTTCAAAGCAATTCGTTAAAATGTCACTAGGTTACACTCCTTTCAAAGGTTTATTGAGCAGAATTTGAACTAATTTGCTTATATGACCTTTCGCCGCCGACATTGTCACGCTTTCTCTTGTTTCCTGAAGACATACATGTACCTGTAGGGTCATGGTAGCTTAGTTTATCTTTATAGTTTTAAATTCGCTCCCTCCATACAAAAGAAGAGGGTTTCTTAAATTGCTGCTGTTGCGATAACTTGTAGGAGGTAACAGATACAACTGCACTAAAGGTCACTGTAGCACAATCTCGTCCGCGGTGAAACTCACAAAGTGTTCGGTTTCCTCGAAGCGAGGCGACTCGAAAACTCGAAGCATTGTTGCTGCGGTTCACGCAGCAGCACTCCGGATAATGTTTTCAAAAGCTGCTTCCTCTTGTTTTCATGTCTTTTTTTATTCTATAAGTGTAGATATTGTTTAATCAAGTGCTGGTCATTTCACCAAGCGTCCCGATCATTTTGCGATTTAAGAACTTGCACTCGTTTGCTTGCTTACATGAAATATCCTGCAAATATCCAATTAAATAGACTGAAAAGCCCGAGGATCAACTCTCCACCTCTTCATGTCTAAGGCTACTGTTATTATCTGCTTTACAGCTCTGAGATGTTTTTGGGAGGCTTCGAACGTATTCTCTTCTCCCATAATCACTCTAAAATTTCAGCGCGGCATGAGAGTAATACAACCAATGACGTCACTAGGCTGTTTTGGCTGCACCAAGATGGCCGCCAATTTTGGGCTTAACCAGCCAACTTCGAATGGCTGAAAAAGCAGTTTTCGCTTACCGTATGAAAAAAAAGTCTGCAGTGTTTCCAAGTAAGGTTGAAACTTTATTACTAACCAAAAATCTCACATACAAAAATTTCGTTTCAGTAGCACTTTAAGAAAATCTTTCCTCTAGACGGTCAAACCAAGTGATCAAAATCATCCTCACAGCTGGTCAAATTGCCTGGTGCCCAACCCTTAATGAAAGCTCTGTACTTAACTACATGTTACCCCTTCCCCCTCCCCAGCATCTCATGTCAGACTACCCTGCAGAGGTAGTCAATGTTTCCAGTAATACACACCGCCATCAGATGGCTTTTTCTGGAACATCTTGCACTCTGCACTCATTCATATCTCTGCATATGACCCACCTCTTATTCCATGTATCCTTGATCTTTGCAAAAGGTATCTCTCATTTAGCAAAGCACCCTTTGATACTGAATATATACCAAGAAATGGTCCGTTTCCTGATGATATAAATTAAAAACGACAGATTTAACACACCATCTCAACATACAAATTGCTTGTTGGAGAAGAGATAGTAACTGGAAACAACCAGTGATTTTTGGTTGAAGTGAAAAGTTGTAATTACAACAACCATGTGTGCACCGGGTTACACTAGGTTAAGCTTATTTCTCACCTGAAAGAAGCACGTCTGAACCCAAAAACTCGACACTCGTGACTGGGGAAATCAGGGTTTTCTTCTCCCATTCCCAATCCCTAACAATTGTCATTTTTCCAGGCACTCGACAGGAGAAAAACTTGTGTGATTTTCATCAAGGAATAGAAGGTGCTTCCGCCATGTTGAATTTCTTCGACCCAGTCTCACGCAAACGCTAATACCCTATTTGTTCGGGTCGGGTCGGTCGGGGGAGGAGACGGTGGCGGGGGGTGGGGTGGTGGGAGGTCGTCTCCGGTCATGTCTCCATCTCGCGATCCATACACGATATATTCGTATTTTTTCAGGAATTTTGTTTCATGTACATCTTTTTGTTTACAACCTCAACTTTTGAAAGTTATCGCTTCCTCGGCTGAGTCCAAGCCTGGCGTCAATTATCAGATTATAAGACATTTATTAGCATTACATGTATTGTCAAAGATCAGTTCATATATTTCAGCAGAGAAAGAAAAATTTCAATATTATTTTTTTGAGCCTTTTATTTGCTCTAGGATCGTATGTCCGTGTGTTACCTGTTAAGTTTACGGCCGCGATTGACCTGGTACTGCACGAAGCATACAATGTAAACAATGTAAACAATATAACACTGAAGAATATTACATAATTTGCATGTCATCAAACACGACGGTATGAGAGCTAAAAGGTTACTGAAGTCAGCTAACTCGGCCAGCGCTTATGTCTTTACAAGGTGAGTTAAGTTCAACTGAAAAATAACAAAAGGAGAAAGGATATTAGCTAAAAGGATAAATTTCATTGGACATGTCGAGACCTAACTCGTTCCGGCTGGTGAACCGATGTGCCACATACCAAAATTGATCTGTTCCGAAATAATGTCACAAATTTGATCCTCTGACTAAATACACTAGTCAGTTTCTGGTAACATACATGGTCACGAAACGACATCTGTAGGTGGTAGCTATTCTTGCACTCATTCTGGGGAACGCGCAGAGGGCTGGTTGCTGTTGCTTTCGTTACCTGATTATTGCGTGACGCTAGTAAAATTAGCAATTTCAAAGGCATGGAAAGTCGATAATGGAATCTATCCTTGTACATCCTTCCCTCGTCAAATTGTGATTTGTAGTTCCTCTGCCGTCTCTCACGATTTAAATAATGTGCTCAAAGGGTGAACGTGTAGAATGATGCAAATATTAGACCGCAAGATCGGGATAAATAATCACCGCTGATTACCCAAACAATGTTCCAGAATGTTATGCGTGTGGGCGGGTCGAGCATTATCTGATGTGTTAATTGACCTCTTGACTATTTTGACATAAGAAATCAGCTTTAAATATTTCACGATCTACTAATTGGTTTGTGTCACACATACCGTGTACAAACATCGCTGAACCGAAAACAAACATCGATATGTTTCTGTCATTTTTGGATAGCTCTTCCCTGCTATTTACCTGTTTGATAGCAGCCATAGTTGTGATCTTTACGCTGACTATTTTTAGGTTCTTTTCGAGAAGAAAGGTGGGTGAGTTGGACAAGAAATACGTTCTTATCACGGGCTGCGACTCGGGTTTCGGTCAAGAAACCGCCATTACATTGGACAAGATGGGGATTGGTGTGTTGGCGACTTGTTTAACGAAAGAAGGAGAGCAGAGTTTGAAAGCTGCGACAAGCGACAGATTGAAAACTTTCCAGTTAGATGTTACTAATTCAGAGCAGATTAAAACCCTCTACGAGCTAGTAAAGGAACAACTGCCCTCGGATCAAGGTAACGTATGCTAAACATTCTTTGCAAAAAACTGTAGGACCGCGACGCGTACATATATTCGCCTTGCGCGTTGTTTTTCCCTAGATTTTGAAAAGGAACCGCGCAGCAAATAAACAGAAGTAAAGAACACCAAATTATTACGAATCCGGAAATTTGCAGGAACTGTTAGCAGGGTCAGAGGAATGACATTTGTTAATTAGTTCGTTGTATTGAATAATCTTGTTTATCCCCCTCTCATCTGGGGAACGGGAAGAAGAGAGACCCTGGGCACGAGCTTGCATCCTTGCAACGGAATTGATACTTGCGACAAATTCTTCCATAGATCGACTGCGGAGGCCTTGCCAACAAGTATACCCACAGAGAACTTTGAAAGCTAAGATCAGTGTATCGTTTCTTCCCAACAATCTCTGCCTTTCCTTTAGTCGTCCATGTCATTTGCAATTTCTTTACAGTCCTTATGGGATTTTTCTTTGGTACGACCAAGAAAATCAAGGGAAAAGATAAACCATAAGGAAGAGCAAGGATCTCAGTTGGCTCGACTGGAAGTTGTTTCCATCCTTTTTCTTCTCCCATTAGCCCTTTATGCAGTCGTCACCCAATGCTTCTCGTTTTGGGGAGGAGGGTTGCGTGACGACCGGAGAAACGGCTTTATATGAGACTAGTTCCCCAGCGCACGTTTTCAGTGCGTTTCAATGCTTTATCCTTTATCGTTCCACCATTGACAGCAACAACTGCGCGCACGAAGAATAACTGTAAGTGGAAGAATCAACAGTTGCTTTTTAACTCAGCACAATTACTCCGGTCATTTATTCAGGTCTGTGGGGACTAGTAAACAATGCCGGAATTACTCTAATTGGACCAATAGAGTGGATCCCGCTGGAAAAGTCCAAACGCATTGCTGACGTTAATCTGTGGGGGATGATTGACGTCACAAAAACCTTCCTGCCGCTCGTCAAGAAGGCCCGGGGACGAGTAGTAAACTTATCGAGTATGTTAGGTAAGTGTAAAATAATTTCTTTCATTTTTGGCACTAGAACCATGAATACTGGACACTTTTAGTGCATTTTTCTAATGGCTTTGGAATGGAGGCTATCCATATCGACAAAATTATTTTAGCATTTTTTTCACTGTTAAAGCGATAATCGTTTACATTATAAGATCTCTCATTCTGTAGTCAATAAAATATACAAAAAATGTAAAGTATTCGCTGTTCGAGTGGCCCCAATATAACGGACACTCACCTTTTCTGTTTGTTAAACTAGCTTTCATGTTTTAACGATGCCCACAGATTGAGCACGTGTTGACGACTGATGGCATTTTTTCTCATTTCTGTCTTCTACTAAAGTTGAAGTCGACAAAACGCTCCAGCGCGTTCGGTGACAAAATGAAATTACAAAAGTCGTTTCAAATTTTGTTTCTTGAATCTTTTCCTAGGCAATGTTTCGTGCAACGTGTTTAGTAGCTTGCGAACAGGTTCTCTAGTTGAGGATGGGGCGAAGAGAGACCGGGAAGAAAGAGGAGAGAAGAGAGAGGAGGGAAGAAAGAATAGGTGCCACCGCTCCAATCGCCTCTCTCCCCCCCGGTCCCTTAACCCCCCACTCGGCCACTTCACTCTCAGCCAGTTCTTTTGCAGCCCTTCCAGGCNTGCAGTGTTTCCAAGTAAGGTTGAAACTTTATTACTAACCAAAAATCTCACATACAAAAATTTCGTTTCAGTAGCACTTTAAGAAAATCTTTCCTCTAGACGGTCAAACCAAGTGATCAAAATCATCCTCACAGCTGGTCAAATTGCCTGGTGCCCAACCCTTAATGAAAGCTCTGTACTTAACTACATGTTACCCCTTCCCCCTCCCCAGCATCTCATGTCAGACTACCCTGCAGAGGTAGTCAATGTTTCCAGTAATACACACCGCCATCAGATGGCTTTTTCTGGAACATCTTGCACTCTGCACTCATTCATATCTCTGCATATGACCCACCTCTTATTCCATGTATCCTTGATCTTTGCAAAAGGTATCTCTCATTTAGCAAAGCACCCTTTGATACTGAATATATACCAAGAAATGGTCCGTTTCCTGATGATATAAATTAAAAACGACAGATTTAACACACCATCTCAACATACAAATTGCTTGTTGGAGAAGAGATAGTAACTGGAAACAACCAGTGATTTTTGGTTGAAGTGAAAAGTTGTAATTACAACAACCATGTGTGCACCGGGTTACACTAGGTTAAGCTTATTTCTCACCTGAAAGAAGCACGTCTGAACCCAAAAACTCGACACTCGTGACTGGGGAAATCAGGGTTTTCTTCTCCCATTCCCAATCCCTAACAATTGTCATTTTTCCAGGCACTCGACAGGAGAAAAACTTGTGTGATTTTCATCAAGGAATAGAAGGTGCTTCCGCCATGTTGAATTTCTTCGACCCAGTCTCACGCAAACGCTAATACCCTATTTGTTCGGGTCGGGTCGGTCGGGGGAGGAGACGGTGGCGGGGGGTGGGGTGGTGGGAGGTCGTCTCCGGTCATGTCTCCATCTCGCGATCCATACACGATATATTCGTATTTTTTCAGGAATTTTGTTTCATGTACATCTTTTTGTTTACAACCTCAACTTTTGAAAGTTATCGCTTCCTCGGCTGAGTCCAAGCCTGGCGTCAATTATCAGATTATAAGACATTTATTAGCATTACATGTATTGTCAAAGATCAGTTCATATATTTCAGCAGAGAAAGAAAAATTTCAATATTATTTTTTTGAGCCTTTTATTTGCTCTAGGATCGTATGTCCGTGTGTTACCTGTTAAGTTTACGGCCGCGATTGACCTGGTACTGCACGAAGCATACAATGTAAACAATGTAAACAATATAACACTGAAGAATATTACATAATTTGCATGTCATCAAACACGACGGTATGAGAGCTAAAAGGTTACTGAAGTCAGCTAACTCGGCCAGCGCTTATGTCTTTACAAGGTGAGTTAAGTTCAACTGAAAAATAACAAAAGGAGAAAGGATATTAGCTAAAAGGATAAATTTCATTGGACATGTCGAGACCTAACTCGTTCCGGCTGGTGAACCGATGTGCCACATACCAAAATTGATCTGTTCCGAAATAATGTCACAAATTTGATCCTCTGACTAAATACACTAGTCAGTTTCTGGTAACATACATGGTCACGAAACGACATCTGTAGGTGGTAGCTATTCTTGCACTCATTCTGGGGAACGCGCAGAGGGCTGGTTGCTGTTGCTTTCGTTACCTGATTATTGCGTGACGCTAGTAAAATTAGCAATTTCAAAGGCATGGAAAGTCGATAATGGAATCTATCCTTGTACATCCTTCCCTCGTCAAATTGTGATTTGTAGTTCCTCTGCCGTCTCTCACGATTTAAATAATGTGCTCAAAGGGTGAACGTGTAGAATGATGCAAATATTAGACCGCAAGATCGGGATAAATAATCACCGCTGATTACCCAAACAATGTTCCAGAATGTTATGCGTGTGGGCGGGTCGAGCATTATCTGATGTGTTAATTGACCTCTTGACTATTTTGACATAAGAAATCAGCTTTAAATATTTCACGATCTACTAATTGGTTTGTGTCACACATACCGTGTACAAACATCGCTGAACCGAAAACAAACATCGATATGTTTCTGTCATTTTTGGATAGCTCTTCCCTGCTATTTACCTGTTTGATAGCAGCCATAGTTGTGATCTTTACGCTGACTATTTTTAGGTTCTTTTCGAGAAGAAAGGTGGGTGAGTTGGACAAGAAATACGTTCTTATCACGGGCTGCGACTCGGGTTTCGGTCAAGAAACCGCCATTACATTGGACAAGATGGGGATTGGTGTGTTGGCGACTTGTTTAACGAAAGAAGGAGAGCAGAGTTTGAAAGCTGCGACAAGCGACAGATTGAAAACTTTCCAGTTAGATGTTACTAATTCAGAGCAGATTAAAACCCTCTACGAGCTAGTAAAGGAACAACTGCCCTCGGATCAAGGTAACGTATGCTAAACATTCTTTGCAAAAAACTGTAGGACCGCGACGCGTACATATATTCGCCTTGCGCGTTGTTTTTCCCTAGATTTTGAAAAGGAACCGCGCAGCAAATAAACAGAAGTAAAGAACACCAAATTATTACGAATCCGGAAATTTGCAGGAACTGTTAGCAGGGTCAGAGGAATGACATTTGTTAATTAGTTCGTTGTATTGAATAATCTTGTTTATCCCCCTCTCATCTGGGGAACGGGAAGAAGAGAGACCCTGGGCACGAGCTTGCATCCTTGCAACGGAATTGATACTTGCGACAAATTCTTCCATAGATCGACTGCGGAGGCCTTGCCAACAAGTATACCCACAGAGAACTTTGAAAGCTAAGATCAGTGTATCGTTTCTTCCCAACAATCTCTGCCTTTCCTTTAGTCGTCCATGTCATTTGCAATTTCTTTACAGTCCTTATGGGATTTTTCTTTGGTACGACCAAGAAAATCAAGGGAAAAGATAAACCATAAGGAAGAGCAAGGATCTCAGTTGGCTCGACTGGAAGTTGTTTCCATCCTTTTTCTTCTCCCATTAGCCCTTTATGCAGTCGTCACCCAATGCTTCTCGTTTTGGGGAGGAGGGTTGCGTGACGACCGGAGAAACGGCTTTATATGAGACTAGTTCCCCAGCGCACGTTTTCAGTGCGTTTCAATGCTTTATCCTTTATCGTTCCACCATTGACAGCAACAACTGCGCGCACGAAGAATAACTGTAAGTGGAAGAATCAACAGTTGCTTTTTAACTCAGCACAATTACTCCGGTCATTTATTCAGGTCTGTGGGGACTAGTAAACAATGCCGGAATTACTCTAATTGGACCAATAGAGTGGATCCCGCTGGAAAAGTCCAAACGCATTGCTGACGTTAATCTGTGGGGGATGATTGACGTCACAAAAACCTTCCTGCCGCTCGTCAAGAAGGCCCGGGGACGAGTAGTAAACTTATCGAGTATGTTAGGTAAGTGTAAAATAATTTCTTTCATTTTTGGCACTAGAACCATGAATACTGGACACTTTTAGTGCATTTTTCTAATGGCTTTGGAATGGAGGCTATCCATATCGACAAAATTATTTTAGCATTTTTTTCACTGTTAAAGCGATAATCGTTTACATTATAAGATCTCTCATTCTGTAGTCAATAAAATATACAAAAAATGTAAAGTATTCGCTGTTCGAGTGGCCCCAATATAACGGACACTCACCTTTTCTGTTTGTTAAACTAGCTTTCATGTTTTAACGATGCCCACAGATTGAGCACGTGTTGACGACTGATGGCATTTTTTCTCATTTCTGTCTTCTACTAAAGTTGAAGTCGACAAAACGCTCCAGCGCGTTCGGTGACAAAATGAAATTACAAAAGTCGTTTCAAATTTTGTTTCTTGAATCTTTTCCTAGGCAATGTTTCGTGCAACGTGTTTAGTAGCTTGCGAACAGGTTCTCTAGTTGAGGATGGGGCGAAGAGAGACCGGGAAGAAAGAGGAGAGAAGAGAGAGGAGGGAAGAAAGAATAGGTGCCACCGCTCCAATCGCCTCTCTCCCCCCCGGTCCCTTAACCCCCCACTCGGCCACTTCACTCTCAGCCAGTTCTTTTGCAGCCCTTCCAGGCGCGGTCAAGCCCTTCTAGCCGGAGTCTACTCACAGGCCACGTGTCTAGCACTTTTGTTGTGATGCAAGTGGCCAACGCAATCCTCACTTCTGAACAAGCAAACAACCACAATTCCTGCAAGTTAGCTAACAATTCAGTTTCGAAAGTAAGTTTACGAGACATCATATACCAAACATAAAATACTTTCGCATTTTTACAGGTCGTGTTTCACTGCCTAACCTCTCTTGCTACTGCGTCACCAAATATGGAGTACAAGCATTTTCCGATGCTTTGAGACGGGAAATGGCCCCGTGGCGAGTACAAGTCAGTATTATCGAACCGGGTTTGTTCAAAACTACCATAGCAAATGAAGATCGGAATATCCAAGTAGTGCAGGAATTGTGGGATGGCCTCAGTCCAGAGTTAAAAGAGGAGTATGGAGAGAGAAAACTAAATCGAAGTAAGATTTTATATTGAGAACATTAAATCTACAAGAATGACTTCATTGTCAATTCGTGTAAACGCAGTGTCTTTGACGAAACACGGTTCCTCTTATATGGCGAACTTTCTATAAGGCGAGTATCCCCTGCAGCTGCTCCAGCTGTTTATTTTAAGAGGTGTCCACCTGAGAACATTGAGTCTGTACCATTGATAATGCGTCCACACTATACCGCTTTCAACTCGTTTAAACGCACTTTGTTTGACGAAACACGCTTTCCTCTATATAGTATATTCTCTTTAAGGTGAGGGCGAGAAAACGCGACGGACTAAGAAAAAAAGAGGGGGTGGTGGGCAGCTCGTGGTCTACGATCAATGGACTAAGAAAGAGATGCGCTTTTCCTAGTGCAGTGGCCTGCTCCACGCGTTCGACTAATCGGGAGCTGCGGGGAAAACGGCGAGAGAAACAAAGTAGGGGAGTGGTTTGGTCTTCCGTACTCTTAGCAACGAGCGAAGGGTTTCTTGCCTGCTGGTCGCGCAAACATTGGGGCAAAAACACAAAATCGACGGAAAAAGCTGTTTCATTCGTACGGGAACTCCCTGGAAAACTGCCATATAAAAAGGTCGGGAATGCCCTTCGTCTCGCTTAGGGGCGTAAATCAACGATTTTGGCCTCACTTAGGGTTTTAAAGACGAAACGCCACTATTAATTCTTGGCCGACAAAATATCTTTAAATGTGCACTCAGACAAATGATAATAAAGAACGCCGTCATTTCTCTTTTTATTAGTATCTTTTAGGGCTCAAACAAAGCTCGAGCCACGCCTAGATTGGTCTCTTCAATTTTAGGAGTTAAATTCAAATTTTCCGAAGAGCACCCCTGACCTTTTCACATGGGAGTCCACCCTCGGGAGGCAGGAGAGGGGGCAGGGACACATGCTACGCATGTTACAGCACCCATCTCCAATTTTTTCTCTGGTCGATTTTTTCCTCTAACCGAGCGTCTACAAAAGGCTAGTAATTTAATATCAAACGCGCTGAATGAATGAAATGTTTTCATTATGGTTCGTGGAATTATTAGCCATCTGATTGGAACAATTTTCATCCTCAAACATGGTTCATTTGCGATCAGACCAACCACGTATCAGCCTAACACAGTATCCGGTGGCTTTCCTGAGCTAACACGCCACTGCTCAAGTTTAATAATTGTTCTTTCTGTTTCTCCTTCGACAGTTAAAAAGGGAATCAGTAAATCTTCCAGGACAGCTTCTTCAGACACTTCCAAAGTTGTGGACGCGGTAATCGATGCCCTGATTTCCCAGCGACCTCAAACTCGCTATCCCGTTGGCCTGGATGCAGAAGTGTCCATCTTCATTTCATTTTTGCCCACTTTCATCGCTGATTACCTTTTCCGGAAAAGTATGAACGTTAAAAGATAGCGTGTATTAAATGGAGTCATGAGCCTATTTCTTTAAGTAATTGTTGCTGTTGTTGTTGTTGTTTTGGGACTTTTCTAACTCCCACGATTCACTGATCATTAGCTTTATAGTAAATAGAAAGATTTCGGTAGCGACAAAACTTTGATTTTCTCATCTCTACAAAATTGATAGTTTCGGTAACGTTACATTCATGTCTTATATGGCTAGCTCCGTGAGCGGGCAAGATGAACCAAATCCTGCGCTGTGATTGGCTACCCGAGCGGACAAGATGGCGCTATCTTGCACGCTCGAGACTACCTGCCGTGTCCCGCGAGAAAAATTTCCTCAGAAGCCATACTTATTAACTAAGCTTGTTCGGTCAATATGGCTGGATATTGGCCTCGTTCTTTTTTGGCGAGTTAATGGACCTCGACTCCGTCTCGGTCCGTAAACATGCAAAAAAGAACGTGACCAATATCCAGCCATCTTGACCTCACGCTTGGTCGATAACCCAGTATGTAATGCACTCTATCTTTATAGGAACACATATTAAATTCATTCAAAAAATGCTACCACAAATTATGTTTAGTACGTGATTTGTAGTGCCCCTACCGTTCGTGTCGTCAGTAGTCAATCGCGAGCGTGCTCCTTTGCCAGCGTTTTGTCGTTATTTTCATTGTTTAATCTGCACTTGCAATCAAAGGAGAAGAGAGTCGGACATCTGCAACGCGTCTGCCATCTTGGAAATTTCGTGTAAGCTCAATAGACCAATCTCGATATATTAAAATCCAGCCTAACACAATAGACCTCAGCACGAGGCTCTGGAGAGCAAACCCCTCAAACTCTGTAGTTATTCCCCAGAGCCTCGTCCTGAGGTCTATTGTTTTAGGCTGAATTTTAATATACTGAAATTGGTCTGAATGAATGAATATACATGTATATGAAATTTTGGGATTTTAAAATTTTCATTAGCCTGCGAACGCACACGTATTTCCGGCTGTCACTTGGTTCCGCCGAAAAATAACGTCTGCAAGCTCGAGCCAGGAAACGATTTCTGTGACGTAATGACTTTTGTTTCTCCTTGGCCTATCAGATTCCATGATAGAATGAAACTCGAGCGCTCCTCGCAGAGAATACCTCGCGCAGTAGTTCTGGTTGTATTGTTCAATCTTGTTCATTCCCTCCCCCCCCCCCCCCCCCCCCCCC